GACCAACCTGCTATATTCCAGGTTGTAAGGGAAAGTGGGTCAACTTTTGCAGCTCATCAGGAAACTTGATTTATACAAAGGTACGTTGTCCGGTTGTTTCCATGGATTGAGATGTCATCGTACACCAAATTGGCCTAGAGAATCAATGGCACTATCTCTTTCACCATTAGAGTGGCCACAGAGACAGAAACTGGCAGCCCGCTCAGAAGCAACCCTAATATTTCTTCCAACAACACATGGGGTGAGGCCTTCTCTGCCAGCTCTTTGGAGGACATGGTAGCCACCTGCACCATTGAGACCATCCTGTCTCTTATGTGCATAATTGGAGTGACCGGCAATGTCTACACCTTGGTTGTGATGTGCCACTACATGAGGTCCTCTGCCTCCATGTACATCTACATCATTAACTTGGCCCTAGCAGACCTGCTCTACCTTCTGACTATCCCTTTCATAGTGGGGACTTATTTCATTCAGGAATGGTACTTTGGCGATACAGGTTGCCGGATCCTTTTCAGCTTGGATTTCCTCACCATGCACGCTAGCATTTTCACCTTGATGGTGATGAGCACAGAGAGATACTTCGCAGTGCTGAAGCCTTTGGACACTGTGAAGAGGTCAAAGAGTTATCGGAAAGCAATTGCCCTCATTATCTGGGTAGCATCTCTGCTTCTCACCCTGCCAATGCTGATCATGATCCAGCTGGTGCAAGGAGAAAAGAATATCTGCCTCCCCACCTGGAGCAAATTGTCTTACAAAATCTACATCACCATCCTCTTCTGCACCAGCATAGTTGGCCCTGGTGTCATCATCGGGTATCTCTACGTTAGACTAGCAAGAACCTACTGGGTGTCCCAGACCACTTCCTTGAAAGAGACCAAGCGGCTGCCCAACCAAAAAGTCCTCTACTTAATCTTCACTATTGTGCTGGTCTTCTGGGCCTGCTTCTTGCCATTCTGGATCTGGCAGCTGCTCTTCCAGTACTATGAGCCTCTTCCCATGTCTCCTAAAGCCATTAGGAATGTCAACTACCTGACCACCTGCCTGACCTACAGCAACAGTTGTATCAACCCTTTCCTCTACACCTTGCTGACCAAGAACTACAAAGAATATTTGAGGAACAGGCAGCGTTCTTTTCACAGCAGCCGCAACTACTTCCAGAGAAGGAACCGATTTCAAAGGATTTCCGGGAGATCTTTGTCAACAACCAGCCAGCATTGTACAGAGACTTTTATGCTTCCACCCATTCCAGGGGGAAGTAATAGCCCATGATGAAAGAAGCACACTTCCAAAATCAACTGTCATCAAAGTCAGAAGAAGAAAGAAAGAAAGCATTACATTTGAAAGGGACGGATTGTAGAAGAGGTACATGCTGGGTTTAGAGTTTTGATGATATTTGTCATCGTACTAAATCAGGAAAAAAACTGATGTATTTCATACAACCCATGATATGTCACTGTAAATTTTTGCTTCTTGAAATTTTATTATTCCTATTGTGAACACTATTCACTCAAGCAGAATTATTTCAGAGATAAGGCTATGAATAAAAAGTGTGCTAATTTGTTTTATGGCTAAGCTGGCGGCACTTTTGTGGAAATTGAATTTGAGGGAAATATTTCACTTTCTACTGAATTTGTATCAGCTAAATTCAGATATAGGGACTAAAAACCTGGGTACGTGTTGTCTGGCAGATTTCTCAGGACTGACAGTTGTGCGTCTTGTGGATAAAACCGCTTTATGCGCACTTACACATACAAATCTGTTTGCCTTTTACTCCAGCACGTTCTTCACTGATCACCTCAAGTGGGGCTCTCTGTGCTTCAAAAATAATTTCACATACATAATTTGGACCTGAGGAAAAAGTGCCATGACTGCTTTATGGAGCTGACTCGTTAATATTAATAAGAATCTTAAAGTGGTCCCTCTTTAGTTTTTTTTTTCCACAAAGAAGTTTCATCTTCCCTCTCAGGAGTTATTTTGATAAATAGTAGAACAGTCCAAAACACTTTTTCCAAAGCTCGTTGGTTGTTTTTTTAAGCATGCACAGCTCTAGTGTCAAATATTATTTGGCAATATTTTAAATACAGGTATTTAGTTCTTAACTTACAACCACAATTGAGCCCAAGATTTCTGTTGCTAAGCAAGATATTTTTAAGTGAATTTTGCCCCATTTTATGACCTTCCTTGCCACAGTTGTTAAGTGAATCACTGCAGTTGTTAAAGTAGTGACACAGTTCCTAATTGAATCTGGCTGCCCCATTGATTTTGCTATGAAAAGGTCACAAAAGATTATCACATGACCCTGGGACACTGCAACCATTATAAATATGAGTCACTTGTCGAGCATCTTAGTTTTGATCATGTCACCATGGGGATGCTGCAATGGCCATAAGGTAAAAAATGGTCATAAGTCACTTTTTTCAGTGCCACTGTCACTAAATGAATTGTTGTAAGTTGAGGATTACCTGAACATAAGACATACAGAAGAAATAAAGATTGTTCAATGAAAACAAATAAAAGAGAATATAATTTAGCATCTGTGCAGTTATAACACCTGTTCAGTGGTGGGTTCTGGATCCTGTTCCAACTGGTACGGTTGGAACGTGCCCGGCATTGCCCACATGGACGCGTGCAGCGCGCACATGCATTGTACCTGTCTGTGAAGCTTCGGCAAACCTCCGTGATGCTCTAGCTGCTTGGTGGAGTGTCACGCAGGTTCCGTACACGCCATGCGCGTGTGCAGAAGTGCCAAAGGCTTAAAGGACAGGGAAGGCGCTCGGGCGGGCGGGTGGCTGGAACGGTACCTGGTGCTCTGGGCAGTCTCTGGTATGCCTGTACCAGGGTGTACCGCCTGCAACCCACCACTGCACCTGTTATGTAGTATTTGTTGATTAACAAAAACAAGAATTAAAGCAGGTTGTTCTTTATGAGCCATGCTTCATGGCTGGACAGAAAGTTTCAGAAACAAGTGTGTGTGCAAACCCCATTCACTTCTTTTAGAAGGGGATCCAGAATTTCTCTGTACCAACATTTTACAAAGCAACCTGTAATATTGTCATCAATCCATAAATAGTGGGTTCTTCTTTTGTTTACTTTTTGCTCTTAGGACCACTTACTACTTTTAAAAGCTATGGAGGACCTCCAAAAGAGCTTCGGTTTATATGGGTAATTTATTTTTCGATATATTAGAAATTGAAATGGATGCAGTCATGGAATATTTATTTATTAAATCACATAAAAATAACAATATTGAATTGAATTAAATTAAAATATTAATATAAATAAAATATTGATCATAAAAGCCCTATATTTTAACAAATTAAAAAAAAGAGAAGTGTGCCATTGTTTTAAATGTTTGCAAGTATCTTCAATAGTTTGCAAATAATTTTGATTTCAAGGACCCTTGAGAGGATCTCTATAGGTTCTGGAATCCCCTTTTAAAAAACACAGCACTTTAATATGTATTCTTATCCTGTGATTTTTTAAAAAAAAAAACCAATTTCCTAAGAAATCTGTAGCAATGCTGCTTGAGAATTGTGGCATTTTGAAATTGTGACATTTCTGCAATGTCTCCCATGTAACTAAAGGTGTGCTTTGTATCTTTTTTTGTTTAGTGTGAGTTTGGTTTAAATGCTTTTACCTTTCCAGGCTCTACCATATTTCCCCGAAAATAAAACAAGGTCTTATTTTCTTTTGACCCTCGAAATAAGTGCTTGGCCTTATTTTTGGGGAGGTCTTATTATTTTTGAGGTGCAAGAGGTGGAGAGCGTGGGCACCTCATGGCTGCTGCTGTGTTGCAATATTTTGGGGGAGGGTTTATTTTGGGGGAGGGCTTATTTTAGTGCATGCACTCAAAAACCCAATTGGGCTTATTATCCGGGAAGGTCTTATTTTCAGGGAAACAGGGTACATGTCAATGCACAGCGTGGCCATTAATTTTTTTTTACTTCATACAAAATATAGATACTCCCCTCATTAGGAACAGCAGTCATCTCCGATATGACATGGAAAGTGGTTACTAAGTTTTTCTCCATGCACCAGAAAAACCTTGAGATTTTTCTGGCCATGAAGTAAGGAATGCATTTGCTGGTTTTCAATATTATAAAAGTTGGTGGTGGAGGGGGGAAGATAATGATTATCCCATTACAAATAAATAGAGAATATCCAGCCCTGTATAATACATGGCTTTACCAACCATAATATAATAGGGCTACACGAGTTCTTTGGAAGAAAAAATTATACTTCCTTCCCTTCCTCTTTTCCCTTTATGTTAGTTTTGTATTTAAATGTTTGTTTTTGAAATTTAATAAAGATATTTAAAATAAAAAGATGCTACTCCCTGTTAAAACCTCTATTACCTCTTCCACAATCAAATTCAAAAGAAAACTAATGTGGCTGTGAATGTACACACATGAGGAGAAAAGAGGAGACTCCATCCTCCATCTGAAGCTACACAAAGATACAGCTGCTTTCATCATTTAAACATGAGCCTTGTATACATTCCCACACATTGTAATGCTTCACCCCATCCGCTGGATATGCACAGTGCTGTAACAGAGGAAACTCATTATTTTCTTAGCGTTTATGAGAACTATCCAGCTACTCCCAATGGCAAAGAATCCTACTTTACACTCATGCATACTTATTACATGTATATCAACTGTACATATACTTGCAAAAGATTGTGGTGTTCAGCAAAAAGAAAAAGAAGAAAAAAAACTGATACTTTAAAGAGTATAACCACAATTTTTTGGGTGGGGAGGAGGGGAAATGTGAGGGGTTTTTTTGTTTTGTTTTCACTAAGGGTAAGTTGAAGGAATTAATTCCAAATGATATTTTTCTAAATCAGGGAATTATAGAAAAGAGAAGAATAGAGAAGAGATTAAAAGGAACAGCTCCTAAAGCAAGAGCATTAGAGGTGGTATTCAGCAGGTTCTGACCAGTTCTGGAGAACCAGTAGTAGAAATTTTGAGTAGTTCAGAGAACCAGTAAATACCACCTCTGATTGGCCCTGCACCCATCTATTCTTTTCTACTTCCTGAGTCCCAGCTGATCAGGAGGGAATGGAGATTTTGTAGTAGCCTTACCCAGGAGTGGGGAGGGAATGGAGATTTTGCAGTATCCTTTCCTTGCCATGCTCACCAAGCCACACCCACCAAGCCATGCCATGCCCACCAAGTCACGCTCACAGAACTGGTAGTAAAAAAAAATTGAATCCCACCACAGAAGAGCATCCATTGTAGGCAGTAGTTAACCTAGATTGATTGGTTTCTGGAACAAAACAGAGTCAACTCTAATTAGCAGTTGAGTAGAGACCACCAGGGAATCCCAAAACTGGAGAATCTAATTTAGATCCCAGCAAGAAGAATGTAACAGATGTCTATTTCCTAGTATAGAATGAGTCATCAGAAATTGAAACTTTACATAAATATATCTTTACATAAATTTGCTTGAAGGGAAAATGCTGGCTGTGAGTTTCAGGTTAGTAGATGTGGTGATAGGAGAAAAATGTATAAAAGAAATGAATCGGCTTGTGTACCAATTAGGGGGGAAATCATGCAAACATCTACCTGTCCTTGCCTGCTGCATAAATGAAATGGAAATGGCTGAAAAAGAAGTGAGGAGATCCATCTCACTGGCAAATAATATAGAAGAAATATCCTTTCTCAAATCCTGAACTTCTGAATCTTTACTCAGGGAGGGAATTTAGTAAATTAAAATAAACAAAGCCAAGTGGTACAGTAGTCAAAATGCAATTTTGCAGGCTTATTTTTCCCACAGTCTAGAGTTCAATCCTGATGGATTTAAGATTGACTCAGCCTTCTATTCTTCCGAGGTCAGTAAAATAAGGACTTCTGGGGGCAATACACTGACATTGTAAACCGCTTAAAGAAGGCTGTAAAGCATTGAGGAGCGGTATATAAGTCTAAGTGCTATTGCTATTTATTGCCTTTATTTGGTTAGATGCAGAATTGGGGCAGTCCAATTAAGTTTCAGGAGGGTATAGAAAGCAAAGTGATCAGTTTAATCATGTGTAGCCCTGCTACCATATCCACTTCTCTCACTCAGCAGCCCACCAATCATAAAAAAGGAGTCAGAGACAGGGCAGAGTTTGCTGTCCAGTATCTGATGTCTTTTGTTCATTATCTTTCCTCAGTCTGATCCCTTTCAAACCTTCTTGATAACTAAACCATTTAACTTCTTTTGATGCTTGCCATAAAGGACACAGGCTGACATTTAAAAGATTACCACAAATAATCACTTAAGCTCCTTGATTGAAAGCAATATCCAGGCTGATCTGACCTGGATGTTGGCTGGAAGATTCTGACTCTGATAGTTTAGATGTGAGGGCAAAGACATGAATGGATTGGCAGGGTGAAGTATTGTCTATTTAAATATATGCAACATGCGACTGAAATGCCACTCAACAGTATTACAGCAGAGGTGTTTACATAGAGAAGCTAAGTCTTCTTGCAGCTAGTCTTCATTAACCATTAAAATGAAACCTTTAGGTTTAGCTACCTTCTACTACAACCAGCACTGTACTGGTTTTCAAGGGGAAAAGAGGACAGAAGGTTTCTCACTTTCCTGCCTTTTATAGGTTCTCATCTTATCTCCAAGTAAGTATCTTCCAAAGGGCCAAGGATCTTGGGAAACAAGCCATCCCCTTACCATAACTTGGCACTATGATGGGGCTATCACTGTGTTCAACAGATATGTGAGGTTTTGCGGGACTGCTCGAGCAGTGGTGGGATTCAACTTTTTTTACTATCGGTTCCGTGGGTATGGCTTGGTGGGTGTGGCAGGGGAAGGATACTGTAAAATCCCCATTTCCTCCCGATCAGCTGGGACTTGAGAGGCAGAGAATAGAAGGGGACGGGGCCAGTCAGAGGTGGTATTTGCCGGTTCTCTGAACTACTCCAAATTTCCGCTATCGGTTCTCCAGAATACTACCTCAGTGCTAGAGCCATGTTCAAAAGGAGAAGAGGGTCTACTGGTTGCTCAAAACACTGCACCTCCTCACAACTACTGAATGCAGGAGCAACGCTGCCTAAGCTTCAGTAATGGAGGGATTGTCTTGTGCCT